AACAATAACAAGGATAGTAATACAAGAATTATTCTAGAATAGATAACATTTCAAGGGTAAATGCTAGTAAAAATCGGGCAAGGGGTAGTAATGATCTTGGGTAAAAATCAAGTGTAACAGTAGGTAAGAGATCAAAGTTGTAAAAGGCTCTGAGACTACTTGTGACTTCACTAATATCATTAGCTTTTGTGATTGGAATTGCTTTAGGTAATCTAACTATTATTGTTATGGGGATATTCTTTGGATTCTCAAAAAGTCAGGTAGGTTTTTTTGAATCATTGCCTTACAGGTTTGATATAGTTCCTGGTAGTTCACTTTCTCCAAAGTTGGGTCCACAAAGAAGTTGAAGCCGTATTCCAGCAATTGAGTTACTTGCCAGTATTTAAGAAGAGTGAGATCTGTCGATCTGAAATAGGCGATGAAGAGGGCTTTGTTAATTAGTTTTTTAATTTTGTTTTTAGTAGATCTTGTGATATATTTCAGATTGTTAACTTTGTGATAGTTAGAATGAAATTTTTCCTCGATGAATTTGTACTCTTTCTGGTGTTGTTTTTTAATCAGCTTGTTCTTGGTGAATGTTCTAAAGAAGTTATGGTCCCTGTGCTTAATTTTTGAGAAAATGCCTTTCAAGGTTGTTCTGGGAGACCCAGTTGGATCAGCTTTGATTTTTAAAAACAGGTCAACAATGGCTTTGGGGATTCTGTTGTATTTGTTAAATTTCTCATATAGTTCTAAAATTTTTTCCTGTTCATTAGAAAGTGTGCTATCTCTGATGTTGTTTACAGTAGATATTGTGGCTTGTATTGATTTGAGAAGCTTATTGGTTTCATCTGCCCATGAGTTGGGAAGAGATTCCAAGGTTTCAACTGATTGGGTAGAGAAAGATTTTCATCGATTTCCATATTGGAATTAGTTTGTGTTAGGATGTTTGTGCTTAGGGTTATATCAAACATTGTGGTAGTGTCAGTTAATGTTTTGGCTATAATGGTTTCATGTGTACTTTGATGATTGTTGTTGTGTTCACAAGAGGTTACATGATCTTCGATTGCTGCATATGGACTGAAATGATTGTCGCTATGCTCAGGAGTAGTTGCATATGCTGTTTCAGGTTCACAATCAAGCTGCATATTATTGTTGTTAATCCTTTCTTCAATTAGGGCAGGAGTGTTTGGAGGGAATATAGGTATTTCGGTTTTTTGCTTCAAGGAAAAAGTTTTGGCTGCTTTGTCAATATTGATATCAATTTTATTCCAGGAGACATGAAGTCTGTAGATGAGTTTCTGTTTGATTAGTGCTTTCATAATTCCTTCTTTGTCATTGTCGAATAAGCAGAAAGTATGTCTGTATTCAAAAAAGAAATTTATTGTTTCTAGCGACATAGGATTCAGAATGTTGGTTTTGACTTTAATATAGTAATTTCTGAATCTTTTCTTATATACTTCGAAGAAGACTGAGATTACTTTAAGAACTTTGTGACTATTTTCTTGAAAGCATACTGGCATTAGCCATGCTTTGGGAGGGTTTTCAAATTTTGGGAGGTGAGTATTGACAATAAGATAGGTAATGTATACAATGTTGATATTGTTGTTTTTGTGAAAATTACAGTCAGGCATTTGTTGACATTGGTGATAAGAATATCAAGTAGAGTATGGGTTGGTTCAGTGAGTTGACCCTTGGAGGATAAGGAAGACTCTTCAGGATCCTTTATGATTTTTTTTGAAGAAAATATTTTGGATTTCCTTTTTGGTAATTTTATTCAGATGCATATTTGTTTGAGAAAGAGTTTTTTTTTTTAATAGGTTTTCTTTTACTATTAAAATTCAAACTAAACAATTAAAATATTTTAATAATAAAAAACATAATTATATATTTCAAATATTTCTATAATATATTAATATATAAGTTAAAGTATTTAAATTAGTCAAAAAAATATAAATACATACTTACTTTATGTAATTTAGAGTAGGCACAATTATATTTTTAACAATATATCATTTAAAGTATATATTATTATATATTTTGAACAATATATCATTTAAAGTATATGCTACTATATATTTTTTACAATGTTAATTTGAACAAACATACTTATTGTTATAAGTAAATATACTATTTTTTGAGGGTTTTTCCAGTAGGTAAACATCATTTCTTTATTTTGATATTGTATATAACAATGTATATATCGTTGAAAGAAATAATATCTCTTTTATTATTTCAGAAGAGTTAAATGCTAGCTTGCCTACTTATTAATATCTAACTAATATCATAAAAAAATTCAAAATCAATATTAATATGCTAGATAAGATTGAGTAGTGGCTATGCCTACTATTCCAGAAAATTTTGTAAATTCTTTTGATTTTTTAAGTATAAAAAATTGAAAAGAAAAATAAAAGTAACTGTAACTAAAACTAAATTAAATATACTATAAAATTTATAAGTAGAAAACCAATTATTTTCTCTTGGAAGCCCCTGGACAGGCTCATGGTCTTATCTCTCCAGCTCTTCGATTACTATAGATAATAAAGTATACATGATGTTATTGTTGTTATAGTTATTAGTAATGTGTTTGTTGTTGTTGTTGTTGTAATTGTTGTTATAGTACAAAACTGGTTTGAGCTTGTTTAAGTTTTGTTTTGTTCTCTAAGTAAAATCTGATTGGATGATTGATGAGCGCTGATCATCTGAAGGGGATAAACTAATTTTGATTTTTTGGATAAGAAATTTTTGAAAATTGAAAGTGGTGCAACAGATATTGCTATGAAGATATTGTATATGAGGGTTGACTTGAAACAAACAGTAGACCCACCAACTCTGTTTGAGTATGAATTTTGAAAAGTATTTGGCTTAGGAGTATGATAGTAATAATGTGTATAGTTTATATGATAAAATAAGGGTAAGGAGGAATGCAAGAGAACTGAAGAAAAGAGAACTGCCACAGGCCTTTCCTTATGCAACCAAAGAATAAACAAGACTCCCAAACTTGAGTAGACTTTAACCAGAGGTCCTATCCTATTGCACCAGTTGTCTTGAAGATTCTTAAGTTTCTGAGCTGGGGCTCACTTGCGATAAAAAGAGTAAAACATTTTTTCTTGCTTAAAATTACCATAAAAGAAAAATTTTTAACAAAACGGATGTGATCAGGAGAGAGTTTTTTAGTAAATCTATTATTTATATACAATATAATATTATGATATATAATTCTGTTATTATAAGCTATGGAAAAATTAAGGTATAAAACTAGTATAAAAATTTTTAGAAGTGACAATTTTTATCTGAATTATTGATTAGCTATAATTTACTAAAAATTATAATATAGATATATAGTTTATATGTTAATAACATTAACATAACTTATAACTATATTAAAACAATAATGTTATAGATAAAAAAAAATGCAGTAAATATACATAAACCAGTGTTTTATCATATAGTTTGTGTTATGAAATCAATAATGAAAAAAATTATTATAAAATAAAGTAGAATAACAGATAGGACAAAATATCAACAATAAACATATATACAGTATATCATTTTATAGCATATAAAATAGTTTAGTTTAGAGATTAATATTTAAATAATATTATGAAAATTTTCTCATTAAACATTACAAAATAAGATGATGAAAATAATTAGATAATGAATGTCAATATTACAATCTTTTTTTGTTCATAACTTGTGATGCTAAACGAAGAATCATCGAACGTTCTTCCGTTCTCCGATTTTTCCCATACACATATTTCGTTTTTTACTTTGACGACCTCACTTCTGGCCCCAGCCTTATTTAAAATTGGCGATGTGTTCAAGCGCCACATGGAAATTTCATTTTCAAATGAGAAAAATAGAGATGCGGTTCAAGCGCCACAGAAAAATCCACACAGAAACTTCATTATTAAATGAGAAATCGTTATGCACTATCCCATTTAAGGAATTTGAATATAAAGTTGTGGGCATGAATTCGGCATGTAGTACATACCTGCTTCTTGTAGATACGATTTTCGATTTACAATTCCAAATATTACAATGTGCATGCGAATGATCGAATTAAAAAGAAAAATTCTCGTCGGTTAATTTAAATGATTTCTAGCGACATTTTTTACAAATAATATAACAACTAGCATTATTTTTATAGACAATTAAAAAACTTTGTGAATAGAAAGTCGAAAGTATATTTCGCATAGAATTCAGGAGATCGTATTGATTATATTACCAAAAAAAACCGAACCTTGACACTATTTTACTGCTGGCAATAAAACAATTCGGACGTAAAATCATCACAATGGTAATATGCAAAATCACGTAATTGTGTATTGTATTGTTGGAGCGCATTTTTTTTCAATGCTTTTTTCTATACGTCAGTTTTTAGTTCTCATTATGTAATGACATGTCTATTCTTTAGATCCGAGAATTATTATTTCGAGCAATTCGATGCGCAGAACAGAAAAAGTTTATAAAAGAGGAGGAATTCAAACTTGAATCTTCATTCCCAATTCACAAATAAAATAATAACCTGAATTTGGAATACTGTACTTGCTATAATCATGTTTCAAAATCGCTTGCCCACCCTAGTGTTAATTCTCTTAATTACTATTATTTCTGTCACATATTCCTTTCCGAGTGGAAAATTTAAGAGAGACGGCGATGCATGTGCCAATATTAAACAAACTTACTTGAGTATTTCCAATTCAACAAAACTACCCAATATCAAGTATACCGATGTAAAAGATTGTTATCAGACTTTTCCTTATGATTCTACTAGGGCATCGGAAGTAAGTGGAATTATATTAAAATTTGACATATGGAAAGTAATTATAATTAACCAACATACTGTAAACTCTCATTTCATAGCTCATTAGTACATTTAAAAATTTTTACGATAATTTCTACGTGTTTTTGAATCAAGCCAAAGAATCTCCTCAGGCTGGTTTTAGCTATAGGCCAGTTGACTTGCTAAATGAATTAGATCTCTTGCTTAAAAAAGACTATAAGTCGGAATTTGAATTTATGGTTAGTGTTTTGTCGGAGTGCATTTTGTATATGATTTATTCAATATTTTTTTATTTTAATTTGTTTAAATAAACAATTTCAGAACGCTATAGTGAATCTCTTGGACGATCTAAAAGATGCCCACGTTTATTTTAGTCCTCTTTGCTATAGTGCATTTAAATTCGACCAAGGAATTTATTTATACTCAGTTGTAAAATCCGATGGAACTCAGGTAGGAATTTAATTGTCCCTTACTGTATATTGTAATTGGTGGTTTTAATTATTATTTAAATCCCAGGCAATTAAAGTTTATGACTATCCGCAAGACCCATCAATCAAAAATTGCGAGGTCACTCACATCAACGGTAAACCTGCGTTGGATGTGATTGTCGAATACGCCAACACCTCGGATTCCGTTTCACGTGATCTCGGTGTTAGATTTAATAATGCTTTGGTATCTTTAACAACATCCGGTTACAACTTTGGGAGTTTTGCCTATCGTACAAGACTACCTGAAGCTGAATCTATTTCGTATGATCTCTTATGTTCGGAACAAAAGGCTCGTATTGATATTCCTTGGAAAATTCTCATTAGAGATATCGGATTGTTTCGACTATTTGACGATTCAAAGAGTTACTTTGACAATCTCTGTAACAATCCTGATAAATCATTTCCAAATATCAAAGATAAAAATAGTGGCGATCAAAAAATTGATGCAGGATCATCTATTACACCTTTATTAAACGTGTCCACTGTAGCAGAATTTTATCAATTAGATGATACTGGTGTCGTGGTCGTTTCCTCCTTCTCAGATAAAAACCATACATTTATAAACACCTACCCAGAAATTTACAAAGGTTTCATTGATGGATTTAATTTGTTGGCTCGAGCTAATGTTAAAAAGGTAGTTACAGTATAATAATTTTTTCTTTTCTTTTTTTTTTAATCAACACCAATTGACAAAATTTTTTGCCATTCACAGCTAGTCCTTGATTTCACAAATAATCTAGGTGGAGTGGTGGAATGGTCTTCGTTTCTCAACAGTCTCCTACTTAATAGAAAAGACATTGTCACATTTCCGGATGACATAAGAGTAACCAATATCTCAGAACGTGCGATCAGCGCGAGTACATCCAAGAATATCGGACGCATATTCAATGGTCTGAATAAAACAGACCTCACGTACAAAACTTTTAACAGTGCAGAGGCATTTATCGGCAATAATTTCTATAACCGTGGGGGTGATAAGGCCAGGTTTACAAATAAATTCTTCGACATTATCTCGGATTATACTCTAGAAAGTATGGCAAACACGCCAAAGTTGCCATGGAATGCGAGTGATATGATTGTTTTAACGAACGGAATTTGTGGATCTTCGTGCGCCCTTACCGCAAATTTCTTGACTGAGCTAGGTCAAGTTTCCACTGTATCTGTAGGAGGTAATGTGAATTCATACATTATGTTTATGGTATTTTCACGCAACATTAACAAAATTCTTTAATAGGCTTTTATAATAAGTCGCTTTCATATGCTTCATTTGTTGGAGGAATGGTCATAAATATTGATGCTATTATTAAGGAATTACAGCCATTAGGAATAAACGATATTGGTTTTTATAATGTCAGAATTCTCGAATCATCGGATGCGACTCTCACCCTAAAAGAATCATATAGTCTGGTTAAACCTGATGAGGTATTGGAGTTTCAATACAGACCTGCTCAGTACAGGTTGTATTATGATGACGAGAACTCTAGAGATTTGACTAAATTGTGGAAACAGGCTGCCTCTTTTATTAAGAATTCTTAGTCGAGTTCAAAATTCCTTTCCATCATTTATTTTTATTTTTGCTTGAAAATACTTTATTATAACATTTCATTTTGTACTTTGTTACCTATAAAAGCATAAATTAAAACTTAATAAAAATCTCGTAAATATTTTTAGAAAATTCATATGGTAAAATCAGGTGATTAATAATACTAACATCCGAAATCAGTTTAAACCATTTTAAATCCTTCGAATTCCAAACCAAGACCTTGTATTTAACACTAGCGATTCTACTATCCATAACATGATAGTATGTATTCTTGGTTAATCCTTTGAGAAATTTTCTTTATTTCATAAATTATCCGTATTTTTGTTGAGACAACCATAGTATCATTTGCAATTGACGCAAACATAGAATGCTATAATATCTAGCATTGTGTAATGAAGGTTTTCGATTTGGGTTGTAAATTTTGATACTTGTTGTTTTTAGTTGCAAACATTATCATCATATTGCTGAAAAGAATGTTGTAAACGATTGCTACGATAATATGGCTTGCTGCATTAGTTTATAATCATGTCGATTAATAAAAACACACCCAAGCACAATATATTCGAATTTATTGTACTATAATTATATATGTGATGTATATACAGTATACCATATAAGGCTCTCGATAGTTTATTTAAAAAAATTTTTAAATTTTTAAGAGTATACTGTATATCAATGTTAGGGTCTTATCGCGGCAACACGAAAACACGACGTTTTGGATCTTGCGTAACGATCGGACAGTGGTAGAGATGACTATTGCGGGGTTGTGTAAGGCAGAAGGGAAGGTAATTGCTTTGCAATATCTTTATTTGAATCAGAAAGCCCTTTTGCTACATGCATATCGTGTGATCGTTTATATGCTAGCTAATCGCTGTATACAGTATTACAGTAAATACAGTAAATACAGTAAATCGCATTCGTAATGGTAAGTTGATCTTCATCAATTGGATCGGCGGGGTAACATTTACTATTTATTATCAATTACTATATATACAGTGCGATGCAATAAATTTTGGAAAAATATTCATACAACCAAAACAAGGATTTCGCGAGACGCTAACAACT